GGTGAATCCGCGAGGTATACCATTTATGACTTGGTAGAAGGGGTGAAAGGGATTACGAAGTGTTTATTGTTGGTGTGGTACGTCTTCCGAGACGGGGTTTACTTGACCGTATCTGGGTTTGGCCAAAATATTTCTGACCTGGCGGCTGATCGGTTTCATTAGCGTTTTTCGTTGTTATCATCACCATCGTCATGGGCAGCATGACATCAGTGTTCAACTCTGGTGCCTCATTGTGACGAAAAGATAATAGGTGGACAGAGAAGGGGCTTAGTGATATCTTACTACAATCATTCCGAGGTTCTCACACCTCCAAACACTCAGGCAATCTGGATAGAAACTGACAACACGGGCGCCATTGACATCGGATACCCGCCGTATCTTTCAGCGTTTCCAATCAGGTGCAGTGAAAATCACGCGATCCCCTTCCTCGTAGGCAAGTAGCGCCGACAGCACCCAAACATTTCTTAGTCTTTTTCAAGCCTCTCTGCGAGGTTAAGGGTCGGTCATATCCGTGCTTCCTCCACTCTGAATTGGGCATGGAAAACAACACTCTCTTCAGCAAATGATAGTTCGGCATGTGCAACACATGGCCTAACCAACGCACCTTCTGATGCTGGACACAACCAAAACTCGCTTTCTAACTGCCTCGCCATGGATTCGCCGACATCAGCTTACACTAGCTATGGTTCAGAGACAACCATTCTCGAACACCTGAAGACGTGGCAGTTCCGCTGCTCGAATAGACCAGGTTTCACAACCACACAACACAGCCCCCACTGTAGCGTGATAAACACGTCTCTTGAGATTCAGGGATATACTGATTTGACACCAAGGGTGCCTCAAATTAGCGAACTCGACCTGAAACTTGCTGATTAGTGCATTAACCTCATCTGTTACACTACAATCAGAACTAATACAACCCGTACGTCTGTATATTCCAAGTCGTCAAGGTTTTCGTCACAGGCTGTTTGAACACCGGGGTTTTGAAGACTTTCCAGCGTTCGTCTCATTATCTCATCGATCACGAAATTAAATAGGAATGGAGAGAGTGGGCCCTCTGAAGGACGCCACTTTGTGTACGGAGGTTTTTGGAGAGCTCTCGGTATACTCTCACACGTCCAGAAGTCTTAGAATACAAAGAACGTACAAACTTCCAGGACATTCCTTGATGGGATAGCGTGTTCAGGAGCAAAGAACTGTCAACCCAGTCGAATGCGCCTTGGATTTCAAGGAATACTGAAATTGTGGGTCGTTTGTACGTATGGCGTTGTTTCAGCATCTGACGAAGTGTGAAGATTTGGTCAATGCACCCCATACCAGGCCGGAAATCTGATAGTGTTCTCGAGTCAGTGTTTCACGAGCTACTTTAAGGCAACGGAGCACAAGTGACGCCGGCACTCTCGTTACAGCCGGGGTTAGGTGGTCTCCGTGTGGGTACCACACTCACTACGAGCCCCTCTTTTGAAAATTGGCACTATATCGACTCTCCCCAGTTGTCTGAGACAGTCTCCTTTTCCCAAATGCAGGCAAATAGATCAGACAAGCGGTGATTGAGGATTTTCACCCACGTCTTCAAACAACGTGAAAGGGAGATCATTCGGACCAGAAGCTCGGTGGCGCTTGACAGAAGGTATGCAGTCATAAACCTTCGAGGCCGTGGGGGGTTCCACGTTCACTCTCCAGGGCTTTACATCAACTGTGGGCTCCATATAAGTGATAGCTGGTGGCCGCGATAGATTTTCGAAGTGTTCGAAGTGTCAGGGCGTTCTACTTTATTCAAGCTGGTCACTCCATCACGATCCTTGGCGGTTTCGGGGAACGGTCACACGGATCATTTAGAACAATCTTTGGGAGTTAACGGCCTTCTGGGCTTCTTCCATTTCCCTGAATTTCCCTATCTACCGGACTTCACGTTCGGCTCGCATTCCTGCTTTCATTTGACGTCTGATAATTCGTCGCTTCAAGTTATATTCGGGACCAGGTGGGATATTTCTCCGAGATTTAAGCAGTGCCACTGTTAGGTTTGTTATCCGGTGCTTGAGTGAGCCTGGTAGCGCTGCTCCACGAGCAAAATTTCCAGCACTGTGCAAAGAGGTGGTGGTCTCACTCCAGTGTTAATTCACACCTGTTCGTAGTGGAGTCTCCACCGGTAACTGATAGCCACATTATCCGACTGAGTCCATCGCTGGTTTTCATTAAGTAGCTTCCTGTTGTGGACCACAGTTTTCCTAATGCTTTAATGGGATGAACATGAGTCTATATAGACGCGTGATAGACTGATGCGCCTTGCCAAACCAGAAAGCCAATTGACATGCGAATCAGCTGATCTATTGAACATTGACGCATACAGGTCTGCCATGTGCAGTCGGAAATAGGCTATTTATAAAGCTCACGTGGGAAGTTCCAAGCGGGCCAAAAATAGTGCTGATAATAGAACTCATCTGTTAGGAACAGTTGAAGGACAACGACTTAAATTCATCCCAATGAAAACGGTTATTCCGTTGGCAATTGTGTAGTCCAGTTATGTTCGGAGTTGGTCCTCCTAATACTTCCAAATAACACGATGTGAGCGTTTGTGCCTTACGTTCGTACGAAACAGACGTTCTGCACGCAGCAGGTAACGACACCCCAGATAATCCGTGCTGTGTCCACCCAGATTCGCTTCCTTCGGGGTTTAGTTGTCCAACTTATGTTTGTCATCATCACCATTGTCATATCAGGAAGGCACTATCTTTTCAGTAGCCAAGGAGCTCGTGAAAGACCGCGATAAAAACCATCTTTCCAGATTTCAGCACTTCAGTTTGCGGATCAAATGCTACTCCAGCAAGCATAGCGCATTTGACTACCTAATGCTGCGTTGACACCTGTACTGAATGACTACGATCGTTCATTAAAATCCACTCAAAACGTATTCAACCCCAGGGGTGGGTGAACCTCTCATGTTCTAGGTGCCCAGACTCATCGCACCAGAAACATCAGATACCTAAGGTGAAGATGAGGGATTTCTGAGTTTATCCCAAATGGTTGACACCGCATACTTCTGTCTAGGTTTTGTGTACATGTTTCTGAGACACGACAGTCGATGCTTTACGGTTGCCCGGGCCAAGGAGGAGGGCTTGTTTAGGGTATCTCACCTTGAGATTTTGACTCTAAATCTTGACCCACAAAGCTGCCGGTGGTAGGGTCCGTTTGGTAGTCTATACTCGAGGCCATTAGTTCAATAGTCTGATGTGCTTGGCTGCGGAGGGCTGACGCAGTCCACGGACGCAGGTATAAAAGCGTTGATATCCTAGTCCCGATTTTACTGGGCATGGAGGCGAGGTGAACCAAGTAGTTAAAGCGCGAATTTACTGCCCGGAAGGTCCGTGGTTCTAACCCGACCTCTGCCTATCGACTTCCCCTGTCTAGGCTTGGGCAACATGGTAGTATCCCAGCCCTCGCGCAACCTCCGGGTGGCTTGGCATTTAGGCACCGAGAGGGTGCTACGGCTGAACGCTTTTTACTGAGCAATAAGATGCATTTGAAAACTCACCGGGCTCTTAGTAAGTTTTGATAATATTTCGGCCGTATCGTATAATTCGCCGGTTATCGATATGTACTGTTTTTAGAGTCAACCTTTTCTAGAAGGAAAATCGTCACCTCTCTCCTTTGCCCTCAGTTAATTAAAAAAACTGAGGTCAGTAAAACCTTACCTGCAGACCTCGCTACCCAAAACTAAGCTCCTCCACCAGTCTTCTGCGGGATCCCTTCAGCGGTCGGGCACTTGACAGTGACATCCTCGACATGCTTATTCTACTGTAAGCTGAGGGTCATTTCGCCACATTATTTGGAGCTTGTCATCATAGCCTGGGCCACATGTATACTGCAGAGATCAATGAAATTGATACCATGACTCTGAGTTCTGTGGTATGCTTTTAAGGGGCAGGGAACACCAGTCAGAATGAGTAGGTACTCGGCCAGTTGATAAAAATGCAGTCCACTTTCGTTTTATGGGTGTTGCCTGTAACTAATAGCATCCCTAACGGAGCATTCCATTATAATGCATAGGAACATGACCTGAATCGGGGGCGGTTTTGGCCAAAAATTGGTGATTTTAAGGCCGTGACACGAACCCAGTGGACTGTTTTCTATCGCCCTGTTATTTGCTCTCTACTCTTGAAAGAAGTGAGGAAAGTCGTTCACTCCGTGGTCTAAAATATTACCTGGATCGATTTCAGCATTATTTGGGCGCTGGTCATGCTGCTGGTGAATGTACTGTCCTAACTTGACGGTTTTGATCAGTATCTCCGGAAACCGTTGCAAACGTGAAGCTTCACAAATTCCATACTTTGCGAAGTCTCTTTCGAATTTACTCAAATTTCTTCCGGTTTTCCAACTCTTAAGTATCGCTTCATATCCGGGCATCTGTAGTCTTCTAAATAATCAGGGCCCGCGTAATTATTGTACACGACTGGAACAACCGTACTAACCGTGTCTGTGGTTAGTACGCCTTTGATTCCTACCTAATCTATATGACTGAAGCTCATGATTTGTTCGTGAAATGAAGCAGCGTTAGTTGCAAGGAAAATACTCCTTCGGCGTCCTTTTATGTTATAGGTAATTGGTGTAGTTCGGGCGTGTCCATTCTGGAGAGCTGATTTGAACCGGGGATAGCTGAGTGGTTAAGGTTCGAGGTTATTGACCGCGAAGCCCATGTTTCGAATCAAACTCCGGCTTCCTGACTGTCACTGTTTGGGCTCGAGTGACCTGACAGTATGTCAGCCCTTGTGCTTCCTTCTTGTAGCATGGTACAGGATGTTGCAGCTGAATGTTAGTGTAGTTATTATTACTACCACTAGGACTAGTAGTGTTCCGCCTTTAAGATTCGACAACCGAGATTGACATTAAGCATGGGCCCTCTAGGAGGCTTCGGCCTACCGCTTTCGTACCAGCTATGGGAGCCCTTGTTGTTCCGTCTTTGTTCATTCAAGAGACAATCGTTCGTTAAGGCGGGATTTTCGATGCCGGTTAGTGTTTGAAAAACAACAGACAAGGAAGCCACAAATTGCAGAGCGGCTGTTACTTTAAATTCAGTAGCATGGGGAATCTACCGGAACTTAGTCATTCTGTTTGAGTTTATAATCTTTTTCAATTTAAACGTGTCAGAGACGTAACCTTGTACGATTTCTGGTCATAGGCGGTTCGCGGCCTGGAATCCTGGTCTTTGAACAACTCAGCCTATAATACAAGACCTCGCTCGGAAAAATGTGCATATAAAGTCATGGGCGATTTGACGCTCGTGTCCTTCTTTGGATCAATAGCAGTTATGCTGAATGCCGCTTACAAGTCTTCCGCTCTTTCCATGTCAGCGTAGCTCTATGTCTAGTGGGTGGGTCATTTCTTTAACAATCTCACATGTAGTTAAATCGTTCATATTATCTATTTTAACGATATTTTAACATTTAACGAAATGAACACAATATGACTATCATTTATTGTTTCAGGATCTCACGCAGGAAAACTATGAACTACGTCAAAAACTGGAACTGGCACAGGCAATGGAACGTACGTATTTGGAGGAAATAGAATCACTAAGGGAAAGTGTGCGAACCCTTCAGGTCGAGCAGAGTGAGACAATTACTCGTCCAGACCCGTCGAGCCAGACTTGCCGCGCCGAGTACGAAGAACGCCTAGAACATGCGGCAGAACAGCTAGCATCACTGACTGTGGAACTTCGTTCGTCCAAGGAACGTGAGGCCCAGTTGTGCGAAAAGCTCTCGGTTGCCGAATGTCGGTTGGAAGCGATCAGCTCAGAGGTGAGTGAAAGCTGGCCAGTTTATGAACAAGGAGCACTACATCACACTGCCCTTGGAGCTGATGTTTGGATAACTGGACAGTGCAGAAAAAATATCGTAAGCAACAGCACAACGAGAACCCACAGTGGATACGACAGGTGAAGTCATGAACTATCGGTTCTGTGCTTCACATTTGAATTCGACCTTCAGCAGCGTTTGTATTCGCTTTTGATGGCACTCTTTCCACGGTGTACCGTAGCATGAGTTTTCGTTGTTCGAATACACGTCCCGGCATCCACAACTCAGCCCATGCATTTCTACTTAAAGGCATTCGAAGTAGCTCCGTGGTTAAGGCGCACACTTGACGGTCGGAACTTTCGTGGTTCGACTCCAACCCGAGCTCTTGTTTGGGATCGAGCAACTTAGCGGTAGCTTGCCTTTCGTGTTTCTTTGGGGTGGCGTGTCAGTTATGCGACGAAAGTGTGTTACAGCAGAACGATTGGTTTGTTGTTATCGACTCTTCTGCGTAAGCGGTGAGGCGTGCTCAATATCATTTCTGCCAGATTTGACCGTCTTCGACTTCTTGTTATGCTCGGATCTCTGTCATGCTCTCAGTTTTATGGGTTTGTCGAGTAGCTCATGGAGCTCTCATGGATTTGAGAGAAATCGAGATAAGCTCAAATCGGGGATCACGTCTATGTATAACAGTTATCAAACGGGAATCCCCAGTTATTTTTGCAGATGCTCACGATATGCATGGCGAGTCGTCTTGTGCACAAGAATGTCCTCTCTGGAAGGGCTATGCACACTTGCCCAGAAAGCCTCTGGGTTTATGCTACCTCATTCAATTGAAGTTACAATAGGGAATAAACGCAAGCTCTTTGTTATTCCACTTGTTGTGTGTGTGTGTGGGGGGGAACTGACGTAGTTCACGCAAAAAACCGGATGCTATTCCATCCTGCCTAACACGTCTGTGTGCATTCAATTCGGTTTTTTAAACCAAATACTTCTAATTATGACTGCAACGTTTGAGAGGTCCACCAGCTCAGTGATGTTCATTTGTCTTCGAGGCCAACCTTTTTCCTATTTGTATTCTATAGGCTTCCCTATCCACTATGGAACCCAACCAACCGGATCCTGTTGTGCTACTTGAAGAAATCGCTCGTCTCAACGAGGAGCTGGACACACTGAAAACGGATCACCGTATTGAACGTTCCAAATTGGAGCGCAATTTAGCTGAATTGGAAGAGGAGAAAGTGTCACTGCAGTCGGATGTTTGCGAGTTGAATCGGCATTTAAAGGTACGCTTGTCCGATATTTTTTCACAGCCGTACAACCAGAAAACTATCGTGAGAGGTTACTATTTTCGTTGGTTGTTGCACCTTTTCGTTGGGTGACCCACGAGTGCATCCCTTCTTCACAGATCAAATTTGGCACATAGTTTAGTGGTGTTGTGTTAGACGGGTGTTGTTGGGACTTTACTTGAAATTCCTCAATACCAATCAGACATAGTGAAGCTACCTGACTCCAGTTCGTTATTATTACGAGTAGCGGGGTATCGATTCAAAACCCACGTGAACTAACATTTGTACGTTCCTATTCGATCTTTGAACAGAACTTGTTTTCATCAGGTGCTATGCATACTCTTTCTCTTGTCTGGATGAACTTGAAATGTCCGGATAGACGCGCGGGATAGATTTGAATCCTGCGTGGAACATGCCTAGGGTCGTTCAGTTGTAGCGCCCTATCGGTGCCTGCCGTGCCACCCGAAGGTTGCACGAGGGCTGGGATACTGCCAGGTTGCCCAAGCCTAGACAGGGGAAGTCGAGAGCCAGAGGTCGGGTTCGAACCACGGACCTTCCGGCCAGTAAGTGCGCGCTCTAACCACTTGGACCATCTCGCCCAACTGTCGTAGATAGTTGGACTTGATAAGAATCTTCGTTAAAGGGCGTTAGTCGGCAGTGTTACATAACCGAACAACCTTCGTGAATCGCAGTGTCGGACTCCTACGTTCTGCTTATGTCTTGAAGTCTTAAAGGACCATGAGGTCAATTCTTAGTCGGAGAATTCTCCTAAAGGTTACCGGTCGTGTACACTGAATGCTGTGTTTCTGAGGAGGGACGATTTGTAGAGAAGTTATCCCAGTTATGCGTCTCGGCCGTCAACTTCAACTATTTCTTTCTGTTCCTCACTGAGACCTTGAGTATGGTGCTATAAGCTAAACGACGACGCCGACAGTTTGACAAAATGCGCCACTTGCCGGTCGTGAGTTCTGTATAGCTCGCGGCTGATGTTAGTTTGAGGAGATCTGGTAATTTGCACTTGGGATCTGTCCTTGTCAGTGAAGACAATCTATGATGAAGAGCAAAAAATTGAACAGCTTTTTCATCACCAGCAGTACACATCTAACGTCACTGCAATCAGGAGTCTGGAACCTACGACTTTCCGGCTAGCAGTTTGAACACTTAACCAATAGACAACGAGAGGCTGGTCAGCAATGTGCTTAGCTTACACTTGGGCTGGATATAGTGCCACCCAGTCGTGGATCACGGAATCCGCTTCACATGGTCACTCGAGTGACGACGCCTCAGATGGGAGTTGCAACCATCTTGCGAAAGTATTCTTTCTCTAAACTCCTTATTGACTGATGGTCATTTTGAGGATATTTGTTAATTTTTAGTTGAGATTTTGTCCTGCAAGTGAAGCCAGTCTCTACTGAAAAGCTGAGAAGCACTGTCATAATTGACCGGAAGTTGATGACATGAGTTTGAAATAATGTAACGGAGACTTATAAGAGCTTTCGCTGGTGCGACAAGCGATGGTTTACGGACCCAAGGCCTCAGGTGTTCAACTTTTGTTCTTCATGTTTGATGCTATTTGAGATTATTCAAAACCTCACCTCCGTTCTAACTGAAATCTGCAAATGACCCCCAATTAACAAGCACAATGCTGAACAGGTTTCAAACAAATGATTGATGTTATCACGTTCGTTTCAAGTGTGTTGGTGATGGCTGAAGAAGCTGGGGAGATCTGGAGAGACACTGGGGAAAGATGCCATTCATCACGTCATAGCACCCAATTTGAACTATTCGCAACACATAGTGAATTGCGAACAACGGCCCCACAGGATCCGTCCATTGCGACCACATAGTGTTCACAGAGCATATCCACTCCAGGTAGCGTACGTACTTCCATTCTTCTGAATACAATCAATTCGTCATTCTTTTTTTGCAGGAGTCTCGGGACGAACTGTCTGACGTTCGTGCACAGCTAGAGGCGATTGAATTGCAACAAGCGTACGAAGCTTCGAATACGCGTGGAAATTCCGCCTTCAGCGAGGTGAGTGTGGGCTGATACCTCATTTCATAATTTTGCATTTCTTGTTCAGCTTGAAGATCGTCGTATTCGAGCGGAAGAACTGGTTAGCAACGTAATCCTCATTTCATAATTTTGCATTTCTTGTTCAGCTTGAAGATCGTCGTATTCGAGCGGAAGAACTGGTTAAGAAGCAACGTAATGTAATCGATGATCTTCGCGCCCAGCTGGTCAGTGTGCAAGCCGAGTCGAACAAAAAGCTTGTAAGTTTCTACTAAGCTAACAGGGGGGTTCCTTCGAGTGGATTCTTCTCACTCTCTCTGTCTACTTAAGATGAAATTTAACGAAGTTTGACGAGCATAATCTTATTAGTAACGCCTCCTGAACTGTTAGATTTTGAAGTCCTACTCCGAACGTGTTGTGCAACCGTCGATGCAATTAAGCGCCTTGGATTTAGGTACCCTCGCTTGTGACTTGGTGTACGCACTGCGCGGTGGTTTGCATGAACCATTGAGTTCCCTCTAGAAAGGGGTTCAGGTGCCACTCAGCTGTATTGATGTAAAGAGGTGTAACGAATAAATTTCGAACCTTGGAGTTAAAAAAAACAGCCTGTTCCGTGAAGCATCGTGCTACGGAGTCTACTGCTGATAATCATTGTTTGTGACCAGGATTTCGCCGAAGACAGTGCTCACCCCCGTCCTATGTTGAAATTTGTGGACACAGTGATTTCACGTCAATGGTATGACAATTTGGCTGCAGAGTTTAGCTTCGTTCAGAATACCTTTGATAATGATATCAAAGATTTGAGACCTCCGGATGCTAGATGTGGACTAGCTGTTTTTTTTAATATTTAGGCAGAGTATGGGGTCACTTCTGTATAGTTTCTGTTCTCAGACGGGTAGACTAAAGCCATTCCTCTTCATCAGATCAGCTTGTAGTTCACTCTTGCCAGATTGATTTACTTGGATAAACCTATTCAGCCCAACCACCAACTCATCTCTACACTCCACCACGATCCCTAACAACGCACTGACGATGTCACCTCGATTGATGATGAGACGGTTGCAATCAAATTGCCCAGCTCAGCGAACAAACCAACGACCAACTATAATGTAGTTTGTCCTACAAACAGGACCCAGCAATTCAGTTGCGTAAGTGTCCTGATATAGATTATTTTGTGACCTTTACAGCAAAACTCATGCCCATTTTAGTGACCCTCCCCCCTGTGGTCGATTTCAGTTCGTGTTGTCTTCCTTGTGTGATGAGTTCCCATTTTTTAAGTCACACTGGCTGTAGTAAGGGGCATTTTCAAGGACCATCATTATAGCTCAACACTTTCTGCGATGCCCCCTTTCTGTGATGATACTTCTGGTTATTTCTCACTTTCTCTAAAGGAGGAAGAGTTGCGAAAGCTGGAGACTCGCTTTCGTGAACGTGACACACAGTTCACTGACAATCTGGTGGCAGAACGCAGACGCTTGATGGACGAGAATCGTACACTACAGATACAGCTGCAACAATTCGAAGAGCTGCAGGTAAGCGTTTTATCATGAACTTGATGAAAGCGAAATCTGACGGTAAAGATTGGCAGAGGCTTTGTCGCATTCTCACAGTGCCCTTGCGTTTCGGATCTTCACAGCCAGTTGTATCAATCCAATATTCCTCCGAATGCACATTCGTTCTAGCTCCAAGATCATGTAAAAACTAACTCCTTACAATACTGAATTGCTTGTCCACGACTAAGGTGGTGTCTATCTGGAGAGATACACCTGCAACCGTAATTAAAATTGGTTTTATTCGAAGTAAAATCCCAGTTTACCCGGACCTCATTTCCGTGTGTTGGTTGTGTGGTGCGCAGTAACAAGACACCGGGCTTTTTTGTACATAGTTTGCCCTCTTTATGGATTATCCAGCGGGGAAACCGCTCTAGCCACCAATAGAAGGCATACGTGAACTGCCCTACGTCATGTCACTTCTTGGTTTGAAAGTGCACAACTTCGTTCAACAGCTAAAGCACTTGCCACTGAGCCAAGTGCCTCTTAAATAATCCCAGCAACCCTCACGACACATCACTTCATTTCTCCTGTTCTGCTCATACTCAGCTAAATTCCATTGCTCTGATAGCACCAGATGGATTTTCACTGACAGTCATGACGAGACAGAACAACGATGCCGTCGAAAGGTGTTTCTCACAGAAAGGTCTTAGCTATCCCATTGTGACGACCGCTTCCAGTGTCCGAGGATAAGTCATTGTTGCCTATTAATCAGGTAGCAGTTGATCTGTACGCCGAGCTCCTAGTGAAAGGAGAAAGTTATTCATAGGCAAACACGAACGAAGCGGTTGTAAGCCGTTAGACACGAAAACAAACATCTCATGTGCACAGAGTTTTTGGAAAAAACCGAACATTCTCAAGCGTTATCTTGAACTTTCCCGGACGTTTATTGAATACCAAACGGTAATATACGAACAGTTTCATAACTCCCCGAGTAACCTTCACCTTCGATCGGGCACGCTGGTGCGGAGGTTGAACATCAAACCATAGACTACTCGCATGCTTCATCAGTAGTATACATCAGTAGTTAAGCACATTGTGAACAGATTGACCACTGTGCACCAGGCAAGCCAGTGTAAGCTTTACTGACAGGAGTCCCCTGAAGAAGCAGTGAAAACCACGCCACGTACCATAATCTCATTTACACAAATCGATGTCATGAGCGGCTGATATACACGGTGGAGAACGGTTAAAGTAGTCGGCTTTTAACTCATACAATGCAGTTTGAATGGAACGGATGCTCAGTTGATGAAACGTCTCACTCAAAAGCAATCTATGAGACCTGACATTAAAACACATACGAGGGTTTGCAGAACCACCCTGTTCCAATGAGGGCGTTTTGGCTACGTAATCCAGAGATTTCTTGCCAAAGCATACGCTTAATTTGCAATGTGCATAAATTTTGGCTGGTTGACACTGACTGACAGTCCCTTTTGGTTACATACCAGCTACTATATGCACCCGGTGTGTCGGTGAACCCAACAGCCCATCTCAGCCTTCGTGCTTCCTTCGGGTAGCATGACAGCTATGCGTTGAAAGGGTGTTACAACTGAACGATTGTAATTATTACCAAATTTGTATTCGTTGGTATTGACCCACCAATGTTTCTCCGAGTAAGAGCTTTGAGTCCAGAAGTAGTTGACTGGACAACGACTCAAACTGAAGTAAACAACAGACTTCGAGGCGTGGGAATCACCAACCATCCCAGTTGGAATAGATTATGAGCTGTGTCGACCAGTCCAAGATCTTCATCGGTTGTGACACAAGCGAGTGCGTGATGCAGTACGATGCGTTCGTTCCTCAAGATGGAAACGCCTTAAACCGACCATAGCTAGCCCTAGTGGGAAAGATCAGGGACTAACATTTCGACGATCCGGCTTTGATCCCCATATAGGCTACCCGCCTTCGTCATGATACTCCGTACACTTGGTGTTTCAGAACTAAAGAAGTGAAAAGACACCCACCAAAAGGAAAGAGACCTGCTGTACCTGATTCCGACCCGTGGGGTGTGCCGGCACACCGAAGGTAGAGAATTCCAAACCTTTAAATTCAGTTGGCAGCTGTCATAAAACCAGAATTGGGAGGCCCTTAGTCGAAATGTCGAACAGATACACACTATGATGACTCAGTGCTTACAGCGCCGATTCGTAGACCGGAAGGTCCGTGATTCAAACCTGACCTCTCATGTCTAAACTTGGGTAACCTGACAGTATCCTGGCTCTCGTGCTTCCTTCGGGTAGCATAGCAGCTAGGCACCGAAATGGTGATACTGCGGAAGGGCGGACACATCATGAGTATTGTGAAGTTGCGGTAGAGGGTTTGATAAAAATCATCGAAATACGTCGTCGGAAAACCTCTCACCGGAACCTCACCATGGGTTGGAACCCTCCGTAAATATTACCGCCAGATCAAGACCGGTCCGCGCTTTTCCCACCCAAACGATTGCGAATTAGCTTCCTCCGTTTTATTATGAACGGCTGTTTCGCACTTAAGGTTTCTCTAGACCGCTCTGTGCGTTTTTCTCACCTGTGTTTTCGCTTGTTTATGACCCTCTGTTCAAAGTTGACAAGTATCAGATGGCAAGCTACAGCACGATTTCGACAGTTTCTATCCAAGAGATCATTTTTATATCAGCCTACCCGATATACATTGTTTATGTACTGAATAGGGTCGTGACAACTGGATACCTCGCATGCATTCTGTCATTTCGAGTGATCTCACAGTGACGGTTATCATCTGTCTACACCTTAAATCTAGGGCGCCCAATAAAACTGATAACTGACTTCGTGAACGTAGGCGGGAGTCATCAAATTCTGTGTTTGGCTGATCTGAACAAATGAAATCAGTTTGACCGGAAGGTCTGTGATTCGAGCGTCCCAACTGACTGCATATCGGCTTGGGCATTCTGGCACTATACGAGCCCTTGTAATCCTTTTGGATGGCATGGTTGCTAGGCATCGAAATTGTCGTAGCTGAACTTGGAATTTTGTGTGTGCACTATTCAAACGTTTCTCCACAACCTTCAGGTGGACAATGAGCGGAGAGCCTCCACAGTTTCGAAGGCTTTCAATCTGAGGGACAGTGGACAGGAATCTCTGGTAAACGCGTTGGAGTGAGTTTTGTGCCATGCTCAGTTACGCTATTTACGAAAATGCTCTGTAAATAGGCTGCCACGGCAATGCCTTTGAAAAGTCGATTTGTATGCGTGTCACATAGGTGGGTTATCTGGTAACTTAGTGGTACTTGACTCCCACTGTCGTGCACACTGATCATGCTGGACAACGTGAACCTTCCTATTGAAAGGTTGTGCTTCATCCACTTCCTCTTGCTAGGTTCGGTCATCCGAGTCTGTCTCACGGCGCGGTAAACTCTGCATACTGCTATGATGTGGGACCCAGAATGTTGGTTGGTGTTCACTGGACCAGCGCAGCACTAACAGTAGGGGAAACCGCTGTGACGAGTTCCTAGCCCATGGAACGCAGAGAAATCTGTCTGTGAGTGCCAAGGTGGACCGTGCATCGGCAACCTTATGCGTTTCTTCAACTCAGCCGTCATGCAACAAGCTTACAAGTGGTGACCGATACGTCGCTACATCCTTCCATCAGTCAGGTTTCACACGTATCGCTATCCTTTTCCAGTTCACCTTACTCGAAATCATAAATGCGTGTCTCGACATGACCTATTAGATATCTTCATGCCAAACAAAAGGTGTGCCACCAAGGTTTTCAAGATGATTCTGTCAAAATAACGGTCGTGTAGTGTTTCCTCCTGGGGGATTGCCATATTTTAGGCTAGTACAGTCATCTCATCCGAACAGATGCTCCTCTGCAGGAAATTCGCGACTGATGTACTCAACAAGGGAACTAAAATTGGTCCATCCTGTTACCGGTTCCTGTGCAGGTGGACGAGCGTGTAAAAAGTATTTGGCCATTAGTGACCACCGCGGGCCGAGTTCCCCTAAATTTAATCATTTGGACGCCGGTTTAATAAGCATACTGGAATTGCGGTGCCGTTTACAGCTGTCATACGATAATACAAGCCTGTCCGGGAGTTGCATGTCAATAAAAATCTTTCGCAAAGCGGATAATCTAACCTAGCAAAATTTCGTCCCTATGGTGGAGACCTCCTGGGGAAGCTGCTCAGAATGTGGAAAGTTGTTTTTTGGAACATATAAGTTCATCAATTAAGATTCGGAACGGCTGCCGGTGATTATACACTACTCCATTCTGTAGGCGAGCTGGTGGACATCCTTGGAGTGGAATCATGCAAAATTGTCATTCTTGCTTTTTATTCCACACGGCTTGAAGAATGACAATTTTTGTGGGTGGAAAAGTCCGCATATTTCGGCATAGTTCCGGAAACCGGTTGTCAAGACCCTCGTCTGGGCTGCGGAAACGGTTTCCAACGTACGATCCCAGTGTAGGCTAGCCACTTTCACCATGGAGACTATCTCAGCAAAAATGATATGTAGATGGGTTTCGATAGACGATTTTTGTGGACAACCTGAACGACCATTCTGTTATCGGTTTATGCGGATCATTCGAAATGCCGCACTAACCCCGAGAGTTTCATCCTCCCACGATCCCGCAGCAGTTAAGTAAATCCGGTAAAGCTACCGCAGCTGGGACCGTCTGACGCAGGGCAACATACTACAGAAAACTGATATGTATATTAGCGAACATTTACAAACAAATTTGGTTTTGAGAGAGACTCACCTGGAACCTAACTGAATCTCTCGTTTGTGATGTTTCGAAGCAACTGAATATTCTGCACCGGGCCGTTTCAGTCGCTACGATATCGAGAAACCGCGATACAGGAACATACGATACATTACT